AGTCTGTTCTTTCACAATTGTTTTCTCATCTTCTTCTTCCTGCACAGTTCTATGCACACTTTTTTACCCTCCTTATTTCAAAGAGACAAGGATGTAAGTTCTGAGTAAACTTCATGCCTTTGCTTTATTGTACATCTAGGCAAATGTTTGAACTTAAAATTAAAATGTTATAGTGAAATATAAGTTAATCAAATATGTTAATCAAAATAAAACAGAAATGTCCTTTCTAAAGATTAGAATTTATCTTTACTATATCCCCAAAGGCAAATAATCAAAATTTACATAGAATTTCAAAGAAGACATAAACATAATTATTATGTACTTAAAAATTAAATAATCAATAATAGTCAACCTAAATAACAGGGAAGTGAAATGAAACACTTAGATATTCAGACATTTATGAAACCAGAAAATGAGAGATATTTTAAAGTTAAGAGGAATGATTCATTTAAATCAAAATATTATGAAATAATTGGTGATATGATTTTCTCAACTATCACAAATGTTTTTTCTGTTGTTTATCATGTATTTTATCTAAGTTAACTCAGTATGCATATTAGCAGTGTGTTTCTTGTAAATTTTATGCTCCACATCTAAACTGGCTACCTTTAATCAAGAAAGCAAAGCATCATTTGGTAAAGTAAGAATAAAAATTTATTAAATAAAACAATAAACAAACCCAGAAAGTTTTCTATGCACTTCTTCACGAAACACTGTTTTTAGAAAGCATTTATTTGTAGATATTATTTTAAAATTTCTAAATAAAAGATGTCTGTAAATTGTTAATTTTAAAAGCAAACTTCAGGTTAGTTTCTAATCTAACTGAAATATTTCAGAACATTTCTGTACTGTTTCTGATCAAATAACTTTAATTGCATTTATTTAACATATGAAAAAGTTGCTTGGCAGGTTTCAGTACTTAGAGTATTTTGACAATTCTAAAAGTACACATACATCAGTGCAGTGTCAAATACAAGAGAATTCTATGATTGCATCTCTGTGGTGACCAACTGTTTTACCAACACTATTGGAAAGTGCTCTCAAATTAATGCTACCTCTGAAGCAATCTAAACCCCCACATTGTCTTTGAAATTCATTTCTGACACATTAAAACCCACCCTTTCCTAATGGTACATTTCAAATATGAAATGTTTTTTTCTTCCGCACAGAGCTTTTCTTGTAAACAAAATACAAATGGTTATGTGTAGCCTTTCTGACATCCATTTATACTTTTTTCAAAGTGTAGCTACAGAATGTCAAAATAATGGCATGCAAAATGAAAAGGGAAAAAAGTTCCTCACTGGTTCTTTTGAAAATAGAAGTCATAGGAAGCAGAGTAATAGGGATCGTCTATGAAGTGCATGTGTACATAATGAAAACGAAAATAGCTCAAGATATTTCTAATAGTGGTTCATAATAAGAGCTCAGTGGGATTTAAGCAAGTCATATAGGTCAGTTTCCAGCCAGTGACACAAATCAGAAATTTCTCAATAGCTTTTAAAAATATCCATGCTAGGTTCGCCCTCAAACTTATATGCACCTACAGGAGTCCAGGAGGAGTAGATATATATTGACATTCTGCACAGTTTTATTCGTGTCTTTTAGGGAAAATGACAGCTTTTCTATAACTCAGCTTTCATATGCATGTATTCTGAGAAATTGGAGCAGCTTAATGTAACTTTTGAAAATCTCTAAGAAACTAAAAATGTCCAAAATAAATTTTATCAGAAATTCATCTATAGTATCCATCATCTCTAGAACACTAAAACTGTTCAACTGAAATAGAATATAACTTAAGTTAGCATATTGCCTCATAATTTGAATTGTCAACAAAAACTCTACACAGAAACCAGAAACAAATGTTATTGATATGTTTCTGTTTGGTGATCCTTTATTTTTAAGTTCATATCTGCAATGCATTATTTTATTAACTTGTTAGACTCACCCACATGAAACAATGCTCATGAATTCAAACAAACCTTAGAGTTTGTGACCAAGACCAATACAACTATTTATTAAGTACTTAATGTGAGGCAGGTGCACTTCTGAACATTTAAAAATATGGTCAATTTCTTCCTCATAACTATATATAAATAATTATTTCGCTCTCCTTTCAAAGATAACAGTGGTATAAACTAAATAGTCCATGAGTTGGTAGTGATACATGGGCAGGGTCTTTTGAACCAGTTTGTAATGCCTACAAACTTATTCCCAGAGTCATGATGCAAATTATATATATAAGCAACTGCTTGCACCACCTGAAGTTTGGAATTGGAATGCTTTTTGATATAGGAGTTCTTGGGAAAACTATAAGTTATGGATTACATTCCATAAATTTTAAACAATAGGTTAAAAAACCTTAGCTCAAAATATAACTTTGTTTTATCTTCTTTTGATTTTCAAGAAACTCAAATTATTTAATTTCTTAGATATTTTGCTATTGCTTTTATTATGTGTTGCAGAAAAAATACTATCTCCATTGCAAAATTTATTGGTAATAATTTCCATTTATATTCTTAAAACTTCATCAATAACTTTGATGGAAATTTGTATTTTATGGATGATTAGGTCTTTATGTAACATGTGTTTATTTGATTAGTGAAAGGTACATATTCATTAGATATATCTAGTAAATACTTTATTACATTTGTTCAGCTTTGATTTTTATTTTAGGTATTTCAATATATAATTTATTAGCCAAAATTAAACCTTGTATAGTATCCACACTGTGCATGCTGATACCAACAGACTAAGGTGAGTTGAGACCAGTCTAGACTATAAACTCAGTCTATGAGTGCCTGTGTATGACAATATAATAAGACAATGTAAGTGATTTGCGTGTTTATGTGTGTGCATATCTGTCTGTGTACATATTATTAATAAAATTTAGATATTTGTCATCTACTTGTCTCCAAGTATGGTCAACTGGGACCTTAATCTATAGATAGTCTTCATTTACATGGGGTATGTCTATTTCTTGGGTTCATAATGGAGGTATTATTAATTTATTTATTTGAAATAAAAAGAAAAAGAACATCATTAATTTAATATTTAAATTACCTGTTTTGCTATGTGGGATGTTCTTCTGCATATGTATTGTTTTTATTGGTTGATTTAAAAAGCTGCTTTGGTCTATGACTGGGCAGAATACAGCCAGGCTGAAAGATATAGAAACAGAGAGTAGGCAAAGTCAAGAGATGTCATGTAGCTGCCAAAGGAGACAGAAGCTGGAATTCCAGAATCTTAATGGTAGGCTACTGCCTTGTGTTGATACACAGATTAATAGAAATGGGTTAATTTAAGATATAAGAACTAGCTAGAAATATGCACGAACCTTTAGCCAAACAGTCTTGGAATTAATATAGTTTCTTTTGATTATTCAGATTGGAGCAGCAAGTAATTGAATAAGCAGTCTCTACCTACAGTTTTGAAGTAAATCTGAAAAATGGAAAAGCTGCAAGAACACCATTACACTATAGGGCCATGTTTGGGTTTAGCAAACAGTATTAATTTCACTACAGAGATATTACCAATATTGAAGAATTGTTCTCATTTTGTTAAAGAGGACACAGGTTAAAGTAATAAAATTGAGTTAAATACAGTGTTTGTTACCTACAAATAATTATTTAGCAATGATAATTGCTTGTTGCCTGGAGCCATATTATTAAAATATTTTATGGATACAGCTTGAATATGGCATAAAAAGTCTTTACTTCTCCTTTCACAATTTTACCTGTATTAAATATTCTTTGATGATAGTCCCACCTCATTATACTCTGTTTCCGCCAAAATTCTTCTTCTCATTGCCCCTCGTTCTTTCTTGGCTGTGTGTGTGTGCATGTGTGTGTGTTCCACTCCACTTAATTAGATTTTTTTTGAATAAACATCAGTAAGAGTTTATTGACTTAATGAAAGCGCTATAATAGCTATGCCCTTGAGTAATATGATTCCTCATGGTCACTGAAAGCTTTAACTCTTTATAGTTTTCTAGAAAGTCTGAGAATGCACACCTTTTCTATCTACTTTGGAATGCTGCTAGTCCCAATCTTGGGCAATTCTTGTCAGAAAGTGATTGTTGTGCGGCTGTGAGGTTTGTGTATGAAAACCATATAATGTCCAGGAGACAACATTATAGCATTTTCTGTTCCAAATTCAAAAATTAAATTTTTTGTTTCTTATTTTATTTTTCTGATTTTTTTCCCCCAAAAGGACACACTTTATTAGCTCCTGAGTTCTAGTTCTCCTTCTCTTGTACGGTTTTGGTTCCACGTAGTCGCCCAGTCTGGCGGGCAGCAATGAGACCCACTTTGCATCGAGCAGGGGCATCTCTTCGGATAGTGGACGGTTTGCCAATGTGCTGGTGGTTACCACCTCCGAAGGGATGCTCTACAGGATTCATGGCCACACCACGTACGCGTGGCCAGCAGTTCCTCTTGGCCTTGTACTTGTGGTAGGCACGGCCAGCCTTCAAGATAGGCTTGTCAATTCTGCCCCCACCAGCCACAACACCAACGACAGCTCTGTTGGCAGAGGAAATGACCTTCTTGGACCCTGAAGGCAGCTTTCACTGGCGTTTTCTTGGTCTCCGGATTGTGGGAGATGACTGCGGCATAGTTCCCGGAGGCTCATGCCAGCTTGCCCCTGTCCCCAGGCTTCTCCTCTAGACAACATATGATAGTACCTTCAGGCATGGTGCCCACAGGCAAAACATTGCGGATATTTAGCTGGGCCTTCTTGCCGCAGTACACAAACTGCCCAGTGTGGGTTCCCTCTGCAGCGAAGAACAGCTCCGTCTGCTTCTTAAACCTGTGGGGAATCACGAAAAACTACTTTGGCGAGGGGAGCTCCGTGACCTTGCCATGAATGATATTCTTTACAATGCCCTTACTGTAACTGTGCTGCTCGGCGAAGCCCACAGCTTGCAGGCACGCAGAGCACTTATGGTGTTTCATGTTCGCGCAGAACACAGAACTGGCGCCTTTCCTCTGCCCTCGGCTCACAAAAATGTGGAACGCTTCACATATTTGCGTGTCATCCTTGTCCAGCGACCATGCTAATCTTCTCTGTATTGTTCCAATTTTAGCATATGTGCTGCCGAAGCGAATACTTTTCTGAAGTTTTTAAGAGATAATCTATAGGTTCCATTTCAGGATAGTCTCTACACTGTCTTCTGGACCACCTGAGAACAGGAGTAATTCATAGACATAGATAAAAATATTGAGAGAGATGTTTTACATTGTTCTCATTTAACACATTGATAATAGTAGTTTTAAATATTTAGTTGTACTCTCAATTAAGAACTAAGCTTGATTATAAAAGTTAAATATGAGTAAAATGAAAATGTCACAAAAATGTTTTATTTTTATAAATTATAGTAAAATTGAGACTATTTTCCTGTAATGATAAAAAAATTACTATATGACTTTATGGTGTGGGAGAATTGTCTGTATTCTGTCAATCATATTTTAAATAAACACTGATTGGCCAGGCAGGAAGTATAGGTAGTTCAACCATACAGGAAGTAGAGGCGGGGAGATAAGAACAGGAGTATTCTGGGAAAAAGGAAGCTCCATTTCACAGTCAGTCCTGTCTCAACCACCTAAGAAGCAAGAAAAAGAGTATAGAGAGTTGTAAAATAAAGTTAATGCTTTAAAATAAGGTAAAGTCTTTAAAGAGATTGAGTACAGATAGTCATAGGTCAAAAAGAATAAAGAAAAATCAGCCATTTAAAAACGGAAAATTCACAGAGAGTCTGAATTATATTTATTTTTTGTGTTTTCTTTGAATTTTTTGACTTTGAAGGAGCTAAATACAGAGATACATTTCATTGTTGGAATGCTAAGTTAAACCAACATAAGTGTATCTTGATTCCAAAGTTTGGATCTAAGGATATGTTTTTTTGGGAAAGAGGTTCATCTTTTGTTTTCATAGAAGACGAGAACCTGTAGATTGCTCCCAGACCAATATGGTTTGATAGATTACATCCTCCTCTGAAAGGTTACCATAAACCCCCTCAAAAATTACTTCACCCAACTGCTGACTGAGATGAACCTAGCACACAGAATAGACTGTGAAATACCTGATTAACAGCATCCACAAACAGCAGGAACTAGTATGGACATAACTATGCCCATATTCCCAAATATTGTTTATAACTGTTTGTTTATATTTAAAGGGGGATATGATATAGATTTGAATAATTTGCATTGATATGGATCTTGGTTTCTTGACAAAAATTTATGGTAAGTTTTGTTATATGGCAAATTTTATCTATTTCTGCTCTTGATTAATATATTGTGTCTGTGTAGCTCATTTAAAATTGGAATGCATACTTAATAAATATAAGTTAATAGATAATCATCTGTAATAGTCAAGCTTATAGTCATGTTAGATTTTCTAGATGTACAGAGATGTATTTCAGTTAGATAGGTATTCTTCAAACCCTTCAAAGACTACAGAATATGGCATTTAAAATGTTTAAGAATGTAAGGCTTATATGACAGTCAGACACATCTGTTCCTGGCAGTACCAAGCTACTTCAAAAAGATAATGTGCATTGAAGAGGCTCCTTATGAAGTTTGTTAGCCATTTGTGCAAGAAACTGCTCTTGCCTGGACTGCTAAACTAGACATACAGGACCCACAGAGAAATGACTACTGTGCTTGCCTAAAGGTGACACTGTTCTTCGGAGTTGCTGCTTCATGAAAGTGTATGCTTGACATTGTGCAGGACACAGAAAAATGACACAGACAAACTGATGGCATAGGTGAAACTTTCTTAGAGATTACCTGCTTCATGGAAAGTCTTATCCTATGGGTCTGTAGGCTGAAGATGGGTGCCCCAGCAGTACAGAAGAACTTTGGGTGACTTTCCAGGAATCAAGAAGTCTCTGTCAATTCTAGAGTTTTGGAAGTTGCTTACATTGCACTTCCTGTTTATTTAGGTGATATTATGTCCTTCTGGAGTCTCTATGGGGTTGAAGAATTTATAGTAATAGTTTTTCTTATTTATGATAAAAGATGAAATAGATATAAATATTGTAACTGTAATTCTTGTTTGATACCTGTTTTGTTATATGTAATATTACTTACTATGTTAAATTAAAACCTTTCTTTTTATTTAAACAAAAAGGGGGAAGTGATGTGGAAGTCCCCTCTGTGTGCTGTGATTATTATTAATGAATAAAGAAACTTCTTTGGCCTGTTGATAGGGCAGAACTTAGGTGGGTGGAGAAATTGGAGTGAATGCTGGGAGAAGGAAGGTGGAGATTGAGAAGCCATGGAGTCACCAGAGTCAGACATGTAGAATCTCTGCCAGTAAGCCACAGCCAAGTGGCAATATACAGAATAATAGAAATGGGTTAAATTAATGAGTTATTCAATAAGAAGCTAGAACTAATGGGTTATACAGTGTTTTAATTAATATAATTTCTGTGTGATTATTTTGATTCTGGTTGACCGGGACAAACAAGTGGCCCCTCTTTGAAACAAGTGGTAAGTATATGTCATCCAAAGTCGTTTCGCACAGAAACTGTTTCTAATTCTCTCCTTGTTATTCAGTCTGTGGGTCCACCCCACGAAGTGTTCTATACTGTTCATATTTAGGGTGAATATATGTTTCTATGGAGATTCAAAAGCCTATCAAGTTATCTATTATTTAGAGTAAAATGAAAAAAAAAAAAACTGGTTCATTTACTTGTTTTATTTCATTTGGTAGTATATGTATCTTAACCACATTTTAAAAATTCTAGAAAAAATATTTCCTCGCTTTGTACGAATGTGACACATTTCTCAACTAAGCATAAATAATTTCTTTTCTAGTTATAAGTTACTTTCTTATGGTTTCTTATGGTTAATTAGTCTTAACTCCATATTCTAATCACAATTTACACATAAAACATTATTTTCCATTTACTATAATGTAACACTTTGTAATTTTCTCTTTTCTTATATAAAGTTTATTGATTTTGGTTATAGGTTTAGTGATTTTATAGTTTGTCAGTTCTAAACAAATTAGTTGTTGTCTTAATCTAAATTATTTTTTATTTAATATATAAATAAAACTCATTTTTAAACATTTTTATCATTTTATTGGTTATCCTGTTGAGTATGTTCTCATGTATTAAGTTTACACATTTTAAAATTTTAAACCTGCACACTCCTCAATGTGTGCTCCTTATTTTTGGCCTCTGCTTCTTAAATAATTTCTAGAGATAAGAAATTGTTCAAACATTTTGCTCTATTATTTATGTTCTGATGTACTGTGGTGCATACCTGTGTGCATAATCAGTCCAGAGAAGATGCTCTAGAGGCAGGAGTGATACAAACACTGACTCCACTGCCAAGGAATACTGAGTCAAAAGCTCATAGTTTGTACAGGTGTATTTTGAAGCAAGAAGTGCTACTTTATAAAACTATTTTTTGAGAGTGTCCATTTAAAACATATTATGAAAAATGTGCACGAAAAATTTGATTTTTCCTGAAAATCTTCTCCATATATTATATGTAATTGTTTTACTTTATTTTGTTTAGAGTTTATCCTTTAAGGCTATATTTGCTTTTTAAGAAGACACTTATACATAAAATATTGGGCATTTTTTTGTTATTTGGAAAGTATTCATGTCTAAAGTTTGACAATAAAAGTCAACCACAAGTATGTTACCATTTGAAAGATATCAGCTTTTAAAATGAAAATTTAAGAAATTTATCTTTTAGTAGTGATGCAATAGTACAGTTGAATAGCTTTAATAAATAGAGTTTTGAATAATTTCTAGCAATTTTTATCTTTGAAAATTTTGGGTGATGTATTCCTATGGAATGTCATCTAATAAAATAAGAAAAATAAGTATAAACATACCTGATCTTAAAACAGATATTATGTATTTCACTGGTAGTATGCATAGTTTTCTTTTGAAAAATAAATAAATCAAAGTACCGTGGCTATGACAATAACTTAGAGTTTTTCATTATTTGGAATCACAACGAGGGATCCTGGTATTCAGCGCATCCAGCCATTTCTTATGCTTTATGAGACAAGTAATATTAGAATTACACAGTTCTTGCTGGGAGAGGGATGGGTACCATTGAGAAAAATAAATAGAACTGACAAAATAATTACCTAGCTTCTAGAAATAATTCTACACAATTAATGATGTTTTAAAGCAATAGAGTTTTTATTTGTGCAANAAAAAAGAACCACAGGGCACCATGAACAGTTTTGTGAACCTTGTACTTAAATTACTTGTATTTAAATCAAAAATCCTTCTTGTCATTGTTTTTTTCTGATGGTGTTTTAATTTTAAGAATTAAATAATATACCTTTTTATACTTTTAAAATATCTGTTTCCTTTCATTATTTTTTATTAAAGAAAAATCAACATAATAAATATATTTAACACAATAATCTCACTTACCTTGGATAAACAAGAAATCATTAGCAATAACCATTACATGTTTCCTTAGCAATCGCATCTCTATAAATTATCTTCAAACATATAAATACAGGAAGAAAATATATCCATTTCAAGTATTATTCAATTCAAAATTCAATTTGATGCTATTTTAATTACCTTTTATAAGTTATTTGTTTTTTTTTTTTTTTTGCTGTTTTAAGTGTCCATAATTCAAAGTAGAAAAAAAAAAAACATTGTCTGTTTTGAAAAGAGCTAAAATGTGGACTCATGAAAGTTAGTGATCTTTTTATCAATTCTTAAAATTTATTTTACATACAGACCAGTTTCAGGTCTGTAGTAAGAGAAGCAGGGTCACGTTCCCAGTGCCCGGCTAGCTTAACCCCCAAAATAACCACGAAGAAATTGTATTAATTAAATCACTGCCTATCCCATTATGTCTATTCTCTTATTGGCTAACTCTCACATCTTGAATCAACCCATTTCTAATAATCTGTATGTCACCATGTGGTCGTGGCTTACCAGGAAAGATCCTAACCAGCGTCAGTCTCAGACAGGAGATCCATGGCATCTGCATTTAGTTCTCTTTTCCCCACCTATCTAAGTTCTGCCCTATCAAAAGGCCAAGGCAGTTTCCTTATTAAACCAATGAAAGTAACACATAGAAAGAAGGACCTCCTACACCACACCTCCTTTCT